AAAACAATGTAAAAATCATTCTTTTAATTATTTTTTATGTTTCCTTCTTATTATTATCAATTTTGTATTAAAGAATAATTTTACAAAGGAAAGAAACATATATGGACATATTTTGCATATAATTATATATATATAATTGTATATGGAAGTTTTTTCCCGGGAATCTTTCGATTTGGAATACAAAATACAAAATACTTATAAATTTTTACTTGAAATACAAAATACTTTTTCATTTAATCTTTCAATTACAATAATATATAATATGTTAAACTCTCTCCCCCCTCCAACAGTCCCCTCTCCATTTTTAGAGAGAGAAAGAAAAGTTGTTTTACTCTTTTACACTCTTTAACAGTCTAATATCCATTTCTATCAAGGTAGATTAACTTTAATCTCGGTTTAACCTAATTTTTTTCTCGTTCTAATGTCCATTTCTACCAATGTAGATTAACTTCAACCTCGGTTTTATTTACTTTTTATCTTTTTCTAATTCTTCAATCTAGAAAAAGATACAAAGCAAATTAAACCTGAATTAAAGTTAATCTACATTGGTAGAAATGGACATAATTGTCGTATAAGAAAAATTTAAGATATTATTAATTGTTGTCAAAAATTTTTATCAATAATTTCTTTAGTATTTCAAATGCAAAATAGATTGAAATTGTATTTGAAATACAAAATACAATGAATAACTTTGTTGAAATACAAAATACAAAATACTCTTATGTGCTCCGCTGAAATACAATTAAATACAAAATATAAATTTTATTTCAAATACTGTTTTTCAAATACAAGTATTTAAAATATGCCCAGCCCTGCATATATTTAATACTTATTACGGTGCTAAATCGTGTATCTGTAGACGTTGCATATAACTCAAATTGTTCGTTATACATTATATGATTTTTTATTTTTTTATTCATTATATGATTATATACATTTATTATTTACATATTTATTATATATATATGATTGTATACAAAATATAAAAATTTAAATTTATAAATGTGAAAATAAAAAAAAGTTAAATTTATAGACATAAACATTTTTTCGAGCGCAATTTTTATCTTCTGTCGTCATATTAATCACGTCATGTTAACTTAACGTTTTAATTAACATACACATTTAATATTTTATATACAATATAAATATTAAAATAAATTACATTTTATTTAATAAACAAATACATTTAAAATTTTTTATATTCCGCAGCTAAGACTCAAAACTCAATTAAATCTGAAATCTTATATAACTATATTTAAGACTTTATTTTCTTTCAACATTTTCTGTCAAGTTACTTAAAAGAAAAAAACTTAAAAGTTCTTTCAAAATGTCAAAATTTAAACAAATTGTTTATGTATTGTAATATATACAAAAATATAAACAAATACTTTTTTATAGTTGTTAAACAATTTAGAAATGAATGGGTTATTAATAATAATTAATTAACTGAGCTCGTTTTTATTTTTCACCTTATCTTCGCCTAAACTTCAAATAAAATATAAAAAAAGGAACAAGGCAAAAGGATGCGATTAGAATTTAGTGCGCAATATCTTTAAATTGACTTCTCGATTCCGTAAATTGACGATATAATAAAATCTGTCGTCCGAATCTATCTTATAAGTCATAAAACGTCCTGCCAAAGCAATATACATCTCGTCGCAGTTTGACGGATAAAATTATCAATTATTCTCTATTATTACAGAAATTGGCGTTTCGCGGAAACGTTGAGAATTTCGTCGAATTTGCGCATACCCGAGTCGGCTATTCGTCGCCGGAGCACAATTCCCTTCAACATTCGCGGCTTCGACGGACAAAAAACTCGAGAATCACTACTTCGCGCGCATCGCGTTTTCGCGCAACTGCACTATTTCTGCACGTTCGCGCGTGTGGGACGGGGGGGGAGGGGGAGGCGGGCAGAGCAGTTGCATCTCAGCCGCCCGCCGCGTGTGGCGCGCCGAACGGTAGATGTCGCTGCCTGTGCAGAGTCGTTTCCTTCTGCCTCAAGCGACATCCCGTCCCCGAGCCTCTACCCAAGCCGGCGTCAGCCGTGGTCAGCCGAGAGTGAAGTTGTGCGATTCATCGCGACTGTTACGTCCCGCCGGGCAGGAAGGTACACGCGAAAAATCGAATCCGATTTTTTCCCGTCGATCCCGATCACCCAGACGCGCGCGCCCGCGGCCCGGCACCCCGGCGAAATTGACCGTGGTGGACACCCGCCTCCGCTCGGCCGTCCGTCCGGAGGAACGCCATTGTCAACCGTACTGACTGTGCGGCACGGTGAGTGTTACCGTTCATTTTCACGTGCGTCACCGCGTAAACCCGGGAAAAGAGCTTCGTACACGCGCCCGTGTCCGCGCGTCCGCCCCGGCCCGCCGCGAGAAACGTCGATCGGGCCGACGCCGCGGATCGCGCGGGAAAATCGCCGCGCCGCGCGGCCGCCAGTTCGCGCGAGGCAAATCGGAGGGAAAATTCCGGCTCCTGCGGGCGCCGCCATTCCCCGCCGTCGCGCCGCCGGCACACGGTTGCGGCGCGACGGCGGCAGGGCAACCCCCTCCGGTGAATACCGGTATATACAATACACCGCCGATCCCCCGACCGGCTTTTCCCTCGCGATTCCCTCCCGATCGCCGATCGCCAGCGCGAAACCGCTCGTTGCCGTCTGCCGCGCGAACCCCCCTCGTCCTTGTCGCGACAACCGGATCCCTCCACGGTCACGTTTCGAACGCATGATCGCCGAGGGTTTTTCCAGTAAATTCGATCGTCGATCGTCGGTCCAGCCCGTCTCTCCCTGTCGCAACCGGTCTCTCGGAGCGCTTCTTGCGGATGCCTCTCATTCCCGCCGTCCCGGCCGCGTGTTAAAGTCCGTGCCGCGTGCATCGCTCGTGTGGCTGTCGGTTCTCATCAGATGCACGACCATTGAACCAAGTATCTCTCTCTCTCTCTTTCTCTAACGTCGTTTTTCGCATTTTCAGAAACCGTGTGTGTGTGTGTGTGCTAGCCCCGATTTCGACGAAAAATTAGCTCGAGATGGCAAACGAGCCCGATATGCCCACCTTCAAGTGCGTGCTGGTCGGCGACGGCGGCACCGGCAAGACCACCTTCGTCAAACGGCATCTGACCGGCGAGTTCGAGAAGAAGTACGTCGCCACGCTGGGCGTCGAGGTCCACCCGCTGATCTTTCACACCAATCGCGGACCGATCCGCTTCAACGTCTGGGACACGGCCGGCCAGGAGAAGTTCGGCGGCCTCCGCGACGGCTACTACATTCAGGGCCAGTGCGCCGTCATCATGTTCGACGTCACCTCCAGGGTGACGTACAAAAACGTGCCCAACTGGCACAGGGATCTCGTACGTGTCTGCGAGAACATACCGATTGTTCTCTGCGGCAACAAAGTCGATATCAAGGACAGAAAAGTCAAGGCCAAGAGCATCGTGTTCCATCGAAAGAAGAATCTACAGGTATTTTTTTTTTATGTGCGACGACTACACTCGTGCGAACCACACGTCCCTCTCCCTTGCGCTGCCTCTCAAGTACGTTGCATCTTTTTATTCTCCTTTACTGTAATTCCATCAATGATGATTCGGCGATCTGATATAATCTGAAGTTGCGTCAACACTCTCTGTCCCTCTACTCTGAAAGCCCTATCGTCGATATTGTATACAATCTTACGGGACGTATAGATAACGTATGACCTTTCTGTGTTACAGTACTACGACATAAGCGCAAAGAGTAATTACAACTTTGAGAAGCCGTTCCTGTGGCTGGCGCGCAAGTTGATCGGTGATCCAAATCTGGAATTCGTCGCTATGCCCGCGCTGCTGCCGCCGGAGGTCACCATGGACCCGCAGTGGCAGCAACAAATCGAGAAGGATCTCAAGGAAGCTCAAGAAACAGCATTACCAGAGGACGACGAAGATCTTTAGTTTATTTAACACTGGGGGGATGGCCTTTACGGAGAGTAAGGCCTATTTACGCGGGTGCTCCTCGGGTTGTATCGCGCACTCGTACATCTTCATAGAGGTCGAGGATTCTTTCTTTGAGAAAAAAAAAATAATAATAAACTTTTACATGTAATAATTTAGTTCGATGCTTTAGACTGGACTCACACAACTTCTGTGAACTTGCTGCATGTTACGTCTCTATAGCCTTAAAGATGGGTCGCTTGAATGCGTTATAATGTGGAATGCGCTACATGTGTGTGATGGTGGTGTATGATGCGATTTGCACTTGGATGTCTAGATTTTGTAAAATTCCCAATGCAATGATGGTGATAATATATTGTCACGTAAATTTGTGAATTAAGACACGGAATAAAGTATAATAATGGTGAAACTGAAGTAACGACTTGTGTGATAACGAGTTCATCCGAACAGTCCGTTGAAGTACTACAAGTTATATACAACGTAATAGCGAAACAACTGAAGGAGAGATTCATGGCATTTTCCGATTCGCTCGTTTGTATAGATGTGCGTGCGTGCGTGTTTATGTACATATATACATAAGAAATGGTGGAGTTGTGTAAGGCGTGCTCTGTATATTAAACACAATCGCGCTAACCCACTTTAAGGCGTATAAAAAGTAACGTTGTTTCTTTTCTTTTTTATCTTTGTTTTATTTTCATATACTTTCCCGACACACAAAGTATATAGAATAAAAACTGCCAATTCTGAAATAGATATACAGTTGCGAGCAAAACTGCCGTCGGGTTCGGATGTGGTAAATTAGAGTTGCACTAGCATCCAATGCAAAAGTCTTTTTCTCTCTCTACAAGTTTCGGTATAAGTTTCTGTAGCGATCGGCTGAGTCGATCAACCGCTGGGGAAGGACACAGACTCGGTGCGAGTCACTTCAATCTCGCTACATAGAACAAGACGACACGTTTGCTCTCGATTGAAGACAAAAATGTGTGCACTATACAACAGATCAGCATGCCACCACGATTGATTTACAAGAAAGAATCTTGCGATACATGCAAAATTAATATTAGAAATTAGTTATTGTTTGCATACTTAAGTATGAACAACAGAGTAAAACTGGACTGAAATATCATTAAAAAGAAAAACTAACTTATGCCATATATATATATATATAGTATATATAATATATATATATATATACACTTTTTCTTGGTAAAACTGCTTAAGAAACTTACTAGCGTGTGAACTGAAGGGTACGAATGTTGAGAGAGAGAAAGAGAGAGCGAGCGACCATCTTTCGTGAGTAAGCGTCTCCCGTGGTGTAGTCTTCTATTTTAATGAAAGAATGTTTCGAGATTGAAGTGAAACACATTCATAGCCTGTTGCGTCTGCCCGTTTCGACGAGGACTGTTTGCTATTTTTATAAGCAAAAGATGAATGTATGATTTGTTCGACTTGAATTACATATGAACAGTTTTTTTTTTTCTACAAAAAGGAAATCCGTTTTGTTAGCGAGTATGCGAAACCGTTAAATCTCTCCCTTTGAAATCCTCATTCTCATTACTCACGAAAAATCCAATAGAGAAAAAAAAAACGTCACGTGTAAATTACATCGCTGAATATCTTAACGTAGAAAGGGAAACTAGGAATGACACACTGCAACATGTATATTTAATTCTTGTATACTTCTTAATAGCGTTTCATTGTTCTGCTCGAGGCAGATTGTATCGCGCTGATGTATGAACTTTAATAAATTATCAAACTGTTTTTAAAGCTACACAATGCCCCCTCGGATTCAGTCAATTATCATGTAATCCGTTTTTATTAACGTATTATTTATTTAAAATTTTACTCGTACAATATGTATGTATATACCTCAATGTAGATGCATGAAAACTGAAGAAGAAATGAAAGCAATACTTGATAAATATATGTCGACATCTGAATTGATATAATCACACTTGTTCTTTGTTAATTAATAAAATACGATTCACAATTCGTAATGTAATAATAAGAAAAATGCGTTCTTCAAATACATAATCAAATTACGTATCCATTATTACATCTAATCTAATCAATCATACTTCCAATAGCGTTTCATTGTTCTGCTCGAAGATTATCGCGCTGATGTATGAACTTTAATCTGACAGTGTCGTATCTTGCGCATCTGTAAAACTTTCATTTCAAAGGAATGTCAGATATTTCGGTTAGACATTCATTTGCAAGTTTCGATTGAGATCCGACTGTCTTAGCTGACACGGTTTTTCTTTATTACACAGCACAGCATTTCTGCTTTATCTTTTAACAAATATTTATTAAGTCTAATTTTTTTGTGCATTCTTTTCCTTCTTCAGTATCGCCTTCTTGCCCTCGAGAAGCTCATGTCGCTCATTGTCCGTGAGAGATTTCAGGGTGTTGGTGACCACGCCAGTTCCCAGAGTTACCGAGCCGTCTCGTAATGTAAAACGCTGTCCCTTCTCCAATACCATCGGTCTAATCAACTTTAATACGAGTCTGCAGCAAAGAACATAGCGATATATAATATATAAAAATGAAAACGTAAAAAAAATAATAAAAATCTCGGTAAAATAAATCGAATATATCTAGCAAACAACAAAACGTCTCGTTATTAAATCACAACATGACAGGAGATCATAGGCCAAGAAAAGAGCAAATTTTTAACGGTGTGTTACATTAACCGGGCTCTGCCCAGAATCCGGAATATCGGTCATTATGACTGCTAAGGTTTTTACTCAAATTGTGTTCTGAATTATCCCATTCCAAATAATCAAAGACCAAAAATTGGTTGAAAAGTGCGATAGCCCCTCAAAAAATGAATGAAACTCGTATTTTTTTGAAATAGCGGTCATTGTGACGGGGTGTTCCATGTAACCGGGTATCCAGAGGTGTTCCGGGTAGAGGGTTAACTTATATTTCAAACAATTACAATACTATACAAAATCGCGATATTAGTTGTCGACTGTCACTACAGCCTTCTTCAGCCGCTCTAATTTAATTAACGCTTTAATACCCGCTATCCTAATATCATAATAAATATTGAATATGAAATACGTAACGCAAATAAATTGATCAGGATTTGTCGTTGAATATATTTCATTTTATAGTACTTAACACATTATAACGACAAATCCTGATCAATTTATTTGCGCTGCATATTTCATATTCGATATTTATTATGACATTAGGATAGCGGGCATTAAAGTGTTAATTAAATTAGAGCGGCTGAAGAAGACTGTAGTGACAGTCGACAACTAGTATCGCGATTTTGTAATTGTTTGAAATATAAGATGTTAATGTGACACCCAGTTAAGAATTTGCTCGTTTCTTGGCCTATGATCTCCTGTCATATTGTGAATCGAATATCTTACGTGCTGTCTTCTCCTGGCATCGCCAAGTCTTTTCCCATTATGCTGCACTGCGCCGCAACGTCCCACGTTTTGCAGAACATCTGTAATTGTATCATATTCGCAATTGGTTTTTTTCTGCCACCCTCTTCCTTGCTCAATATGTACACTTGGGCCTCTATATGATCGTACGCCTTCATGGAGCCAGGTTTACACATTATCATGCCCCTTCTCACTTCGTCTCTCTTCACGCCCTTCACAAGAGCGCCGAGTTGATCCCCGGCGTGAGCTTCCTCCAATATCTGATGAAACATCTCTATGCCTGTGATTACGCTTTTCAAAACTTTGTTGTAGCCGATAAATTCGCAATCCGTTCCCTTCTTCAGTTTGCCACGCTCCAATCTACCGGTGACTACGGTGCCTCTACCGGGAATAGAATATACATTTTCCACCGGGAGCAGGAAGGGCTTATCCAGTTCTCTCATTGGAGTCGGAATATATTTGTCTACCATTCCCAACAACTCCATGATAGCCTGCGCACCGATCTCGGGCTTTTTTCCCTCGAGCGCGCAGAGCGCACTGCCTTTCGCTATCGGAATATTATCGCCGTCGTAACCCATTTCGGAAAGTAACTCTCGCACCTCCATTTCCACTAATTCTATCATTTCTGAATCAGCAGCATCGACCTAGAAAACATCGAATTTTGTTATAAATATTACCTTAAGGAGTCACGCCACTCCTGAGGCCTCAAAATGATACCTAAGTTTGAGATATTTTTGTGGGTAAATAGATAACTTTATTTAAAAGCTGTTTAGAGGATATTGTTGTACATATATAAGAAAGTAAAAAAATATTTTTTTATGTACAAAATGGCGACACAATAGCCTACTTGCGGAATCCCTTTTTTTTCAAATCGGTGTACTGGATTCCAGGCACACGGTTCAACTTTAAACAAAACACAAACAATTTTCATTATCTATGTATTAAAGACTACAGAAGTACGTAAGGATTTATAATTTTTTAAAATATTGATTTTTCTCGAAATAGCAACTATTTTTATAAAAAGTTCATATTTTGGTTAATACAAGTTTTTTGTAAAAGAGCTGCCATTTTGAGAAAAATCAATATTTAAAAAAATCCCTACGTACTTACTCTAATCTTTAATATGTAGATAATAAAAATTCTTTGTGTTTTGCTCAAACCGTGTGCCTGGAATCCTGTACACTGATAGAAAAAAAGGGATTTCGCAAGTGTAGGCCAGTGCACCGTCATTTTGAACATAAGAAAAATAAAAAAATATTTTTTTTGTTTCTTATATATGTACAATAATGTCCTCTAATAGAATGAGTACTCAAATTTTGTAAAAGAATTCCCTGAAAATTCCCGGATTTTCCAGGAATTTTATTCAAAATTCCAGGTAAGATTAGAGAATTTCTCAATAAAACTTTAAAATAAATTAGGCACTAAGAGTTCTAATAACGTTAATAATAGAATTTGATGCGTGAAACAATTTAATCTTCTCCTATGTACAATAGTTACCTCTCTATACCAAATTTTTCGAACGTAACGAAAAATTTTGTATGAACATGTAATTACATATGTGAAGATTAAATTGTTTCGCGCACCAAGCTCTGCGTTATTAGACTCTTAATGCCTGATTTATTATTTCCGGATTATCGTTTTTTAGATTGAAGAGTCTTCATATAGTACATGTCAATTTTTAAATAAATTAACTTTCAATATCAGGGGCCTTCGATTCAATATGGAGCCACGTTTACTTTCTAAAGGGATAAAATTCAATTTTAAAAATTCAAAAAATTTCCCTGAGTACTAGTAAAATTCCATGAGAATCCATGATTTTCAAGGGCAAAAATGAAATTCTCTGAGAATTCCAGGTTTTCCCGGTTTTTCCCAGTAATACCCATTCTGTCTAAGCAGATTTTAAATGAAGTTATCCATTTACCCACAAAAAATTCCCAAACTTAAGATATTATTTTAAAACCTTAGGGATGGCATGATCCCTTAATTTACTCTTAGAATATTTTTCGCTTGTCATTTTAATAAATACCTTATTGATAAAGACAACAATATGCTGGATACCAATCTGTTTGGCAAGGAGCAAGTGTTCTCTGGTTTGTGGCATCGTGCCATCCGTGGCAGCGACAACCAGTATAGCACCATCCATCTGAGCAGTTCCTGTGATCATATTTTTTATGTAATCGGCATGACCCGGGCAATCTGTGTGTCCATAATGACGACCTTCCGTCTGATATTCAATATGCGCAACATTAATAGTAATGCCACGGGCCTTTTCTTCAGGAGCATTATCAATTTCGCTGTATCCCTTAGCTTTTGCTAGTTGCTTCTCGGACAATACTGTTTACAACAAAATTTTCTATCAGTTTACACTCTTATTTACAAGGTAAATAATCATCCTGTAAACAAGATAAATACCTTTGGTAATAGCTGCTGTTAAAGTGGTTTTACCATGGTCTACATGACCAATAGTGCCTATATTGCAATGCGGTTTATTGCGATTGAATACCTTTTTTTCGGCATAGAATCTCTGACTGGTAACAGTTGGAAGGAACAACCGGTTATTCAACTCCCGACGTTGCTATAAAAAAAAACACATAAAATAATTTTTATAATAAGTGAACAGTATTTATGTTATAACTAAAAATGGTAAATTAATGAAACAAAAATTTAAAAATTAAAATAATTGAAATATTTGGCTCTGAGATGAATAAATAAAAAAAATAACTACAATACTTTGAAGCAAACGGCAACATAATTATAAAAGCGTGGTAATGTGCGTTTATTACAAATTATAAAATAGAACTGTGCATACATTTTGACCCCTGAATTGGACCCTCTTTCATGTGTATAAAAATGAAACGTGATATTGATTCCCTTTGCTTGCAAACTTTGTGAGTCCAATTTGCTCCTTCATTCATGATAATAAGATCACGGAAACCGATGTGTCAATTTTACTCACAGATTTCTATACATATATAGAAATCTATGGTTTTACTAATGTCAAAATTATAATCATTTAGAGTCAGCTGTAATATAAACCAAAAGTGCTGAAACATCATTTGTGTGCTTTGTATAGAATGAATTGAAATTATCAAACACAGAGAAAATTTTCACACAATTTCAATTTGGATGTCGTAAAGATGTAAGGATGAAGAAGCTCAGTAACGTCCAATCTTAAAAATAATATATATTTAAGTTTATATCTACACAGTGTGTTACTGAACTTCTCAATTCATTTTACTCGAAAATCATAAATAATTAATAACTTTAAAAAACTATAAGCCTTGCAAGTCTCTGGATGTAGCCTTTAACAAGAGAGACTGTTTATATTTGATAATCTCTGTCACTTATCCTAACTCAATCACTAACAGAGAAGACTCTATATCTATCTGACAATTGGGTCTTTCCATTCTTTTTACCTATGCAAGTTTTTACTTTGTATTTATTTTTTACTAAAATTGACTTTAATTTCCATCTTATTTCAATTTGTTCCATAAAATTATATAAATACATGTTTTAACAGTTTCGGTTCATATTACAGCTGACTCTAAATGATTACAATTTTGACATTAGTAAAATTGTGACAGACCATTTCTTCTGATTTCACTACCACAAAGGAAGGAGCAAATCCGACTCACAAAGTCAGCGAGCGAAGCAAATCAATATCGTGTTAATCCTTATGCATTAAAGAGGGTGTAAGCCAGGAGTCAAAGCGTATGCTCATTCTCTTTTTTTATAATTTATAATAAACAAACATTACTATGCTTCTGTAACTGCATTGACTCCAAAGAGCATTTTAATTATTTTCCTGATTAATTTTAGGAAATTAGTAGAAAGAAATCACATATACTCTAATATTATGTAATGTAAAAATAATCGCGATTTTTATTAAAATGTTGATTAGAGTGGCGCGCATTTACGATCCAATTTTCATAGATAATAATTTAGAGATTTGAACGCTGGCTCTTATGCGAATAGCGTGGATTCGCGATCGTTAGTCACAAGTCCAGAGGAAATTACTGAATCTTTGACGACAACCATCCACTTACACATTTCGACAGTTGCTTCGCGAAGATGATCCGCTTGAGAGTCTGCCTCAACACTAAAACAGAAAGATAGATTTGCATGACAAAAGCCAAATATTTCGCTACTAGTCCGCGCCTAACCTCATCTTTTTTACAAAACTCGATTTCGATTGGAAATCGATAGAGGTTTCGGCAGGACAATACATAAAAAGATTAGCAAAGGTTTGCTTTAAAATCCTGTTGCTGTTGCCAGTGTGGACATATATTTAGCATTTTGCTTACCGGGACTAAAAATCGCCCTTGTGGAAATAAACGCCATGTTTCTCGTATGGTGTAGCTAACGTGAAATTGAGTGAAATTACGCAGATGCTGTAAATTTCCGGCGTGTAATGAAACTAGAGTTATCAGGGGTGCGTTCCAAAACTTACCCGAGTAAGGTAGAGTCCTAGATTATCAGAGAAGCGCGATCGGCTTATGGCAATATCGCAAAAGTACTAGAAAATATTAAAAATGGCGTCGAATGGCCAATCATGGCTGCGCACAGTGGGATGGATTGCCGAAAAAGTGGCCAAAATTCAGAAATTACATTATTACAAAAAGCTATATTTATAAGTTTTTCGATTTGCTGAACATGATTTTGAATTTAGAATTACAATTTTAAAATGGCGGATCCAATATGGCGGATTTAAATTAAAAATTATTGTCTGAAATGCATAATAGTTATGGTTTCTAAGAGTTTTTTTTTAGTCACGTATCTCATTTATTATAAACTTAAAATACGTAAAAAATAATAAAACAATAAAAATAACAAAAAAACTAAAAAAAAAAAAACGGAGTCGTTATAGTCACCACGTTCTAGTTTGTGACTTCGAGTTCGGCAGAGAACGGCAATGCACAAAAATTAAAAATTTTTTAATTTTATTTTTACTAGCAGCATTGTAAAATTGTATGTGTAGCCTATATCTGCACCTTTCATATCGACATTTTGAGTTGTCTTTTGATGCTATAATCATGATTAACCACCCAGAAAAACCTTGAGATCAAGGTTTAAGGTAAGGAATTAATGTTGACATATAACGGCTCATTTTTGGCATCAAAACAGAACAAATGATCAAAATTGACGCTTGATATTTGTTAATTTTTGAATTCAGATTCGCCATATTGAATCCGCCATTTTGAAATTTTTAATTTTGAGATTAGAATTATGTTCAGTAATCCGAAAACTTATAAATATTGCTTTTTGTAATAATAGTAGCAATACAAACGCGCGCTTTGCGCGCGCTCTATTTAACTGCACATTTACTTTTTACTATATTGAAATTGATTGACTAAAATTATACATCAACCTCAATACATACAACTGTTAAAAGTCAATGCAATGACAATCGCTCGTGAAGTTAGCGCAGCGAGAAAACCAATCAGCATCGCGGAAAAGAGCCAACAATAAATACTTCGAGACTTTAGAGATTTCGATGGATTCGACTATATCGATTTAACATGCACTTTTTTAGATAGGATAATATATCTTTGACTTCTGCCATTTTTTAGGCATACATCCCACCGCGATACATAAATTTTAAAATTTTATAAACTTTCAGCTTCAAAATTGAAATTAATTTATGGGCAAATTTGGGCATATACAAAGCTATAAATATACATCCCATACAATCAAATAATACTATATGCTCATATGAAAATTCAAGGGATCAAAAAAGATCAAACTAATGAAAGTTTGCATTATGTTGAAAATACAGTATAAAACTGTGTAGTAATTACTCTATATACACGAATCGTAGTGATTAATTGTATTTATATTGCATCCTTTGACTTTGTATATATGTGACATACAATGAAAAAATCAAAAAGAGTTACAAATTTCAAAACTATATTAGAGATAATCGAGTTTATTTCTATAAAGCTTATCCAAATTTTTATAATTATTATTAGGTTTACTTACACATA